TTCTCTATGACCTTAATGTGCTGAAACCAAAACGGGAAATAGTATTTTAATAAGAATTTCCTGGTAAAATTTAAAAAGCAAATCTAAAAGTTAAAATAGACAAAAAAAGAAAAGGGAAAACTTCGCACACGCATGAAAAATATTTCTGCTGCTGTGCATCCTAGATTTTACCTACAGGCTTTAACAACAGTTTGTGAGGTTCTCAATGACTATTTAATAAAACTGCAAAATTTGTAGACATAAGGAAATCAGAGAAATAAGATTATAAATTTACCAATGTATACGAATTTGGATCTACATTTACCATTTTGCACAAATTTGAAAATTTCTAATTAATTTTCCACAAAACCATTCTGAAACATATATACAAATCAGCTTTTTTAAATAAAAAGTTTAGAAACATTATAACAATGTATAAAATATATATCTTTATACTCTACTTAACATTCTAAGCAGAGGTGTCTTTGAAAATTTTGCTATTACACAGTATTAGTACCACATTATATAATGAGCACAGAAGAACTATGAAGACTTCTCCAGCTCAGTATATTATAAAATCATGTTCAAAATGCTTTATACATTTTGTCTGGAAAAATTTGAAAATCCTACTTAATGACTTCTTAAGTCACCGGGCTGATTTAAAAAAAAAAAAAAAGACTTAAAAAAGATATTCATTTAAAGATATGGCTCATATAGCAAACAATCTAATTAACAAATGGACAAAATACATCAACAGACATCTCACTGAAGAGGACATACAGGTGAAAAATAAGCGCATGAAAAGATGATCAACAACATCATTAGCCATTTAATTGCAAATTAAAACCACCAACAGATATCACTACACACCTATGAGAACGGCTAAAATAAAAAATAGTGACAACATCAAATGCTAGTGAGGATGCAGAGAAACGGGATCACGCATACATTGCTGGTGGGAACGAAAAATGGTACAGCTACTCTGGAAACAGCTTGACAGTTTCTTATAAAGATATGGCTCATTTAAAGTGGAACCCTTATGTCATTTCTTTTCTAAACAGTATAGATACCTGTCTAGACACAGCCACTTTCATCGTTGCTGTTGTTAGCTGCCATTGACTCAGTCCCTGACTCATGACAATCCCATGCCTGCCAGAACCATAGGGTTTCCATTGGCTGATTTTTGGAAGTAGACCGTCAGGCCTTTCTTCCTAGTCTGTCTTAGCCTGGAAGCTCCACTGAAACCTGTTCAGCATCATGGCAACACACAAGCCTCTACTGATAACAGAGAATTTCAGAAGCATCTCATTCTGCAGGCACCCGCCTCCATCTACCCTGCTCCCAAGATCATAACTGCATCCCTCTAGTGGCAGTGGTCCCATGGGAATATGGTGACAATATAGCTGGTGCTAAGCTTGGAATAGATGCTGGTGCCAAAAGACTGAGGCTATGAGGCTCCAAAACTTAAAAATCAATTGATTCAGGATCACTCGTGTGACTTTTTGGGGTTACCCATTTTGACTAGTTTGAGCTAGATGACTGGCTTTGGGTACGTAAGAAGATGATTTCTGGGACCAGGTGGGTCTTAAAGATCCAGGGTATGTTTTGGGCTTTTAATTCTTATTGAGAAACATGATCTAAATTTCCCAAAGCGATTCAGAATCTTTTAGGGTTGCCTTTTAGGCTATCTGGGATGACTCTAGAATCACTTAAAGTCCAAAAACCCTAGGGTACAGCTACTGTCTCCCTTTGAAGAATTCCAGAATTTTTGCCAGGCTCTTGGGCTAGACTATTTCTAATCAAAGACTGGTCCCCAGTTAAGTACCTTGCAGAAGGGGTTATTTCTGAAGTTCTTTCCCTATAGCACCTGTGTATTTGGCACTCTCACAGTTCAATGTCTGTCAGCTACTGGAGCCAAATGCATAAAACCTGTAAATAGAAAGTCTTCAATTATAACTTAAAAAGTTAATACAGCTATGTGTATGAACGAACGTGTATCTCTACACAAGTACATCTGCAAACAGAAAAACATTTAAAGAATTTTTAAACAAACAATAAGAGGATTCTGGTCTTTATAATACAGTTGTTGTTAGTTGCTGTTGAGTCGATTCCCACTCATAGCAACCCTATGTGACAGAATACACCTGCCCCATAGGGTTTCCTAGGCTACAATCTTTGTAGAAGCAGATCTCCAGGTCTTTTCTCCTATTGAGCAACTGCTGGATTTGAACCGCTGACCTTTTGGTTAGCAGCTGAGTACTTATCCATTGCACCACAAGGGCTCCTTTCATAACACAGTAAACCAAAAACCAAGCCCATTGCCGTTGAGTTGATTCCAACTTATAGTGACCTTATAGGACAGAGTAGAACTGCCTCATAGGGTTTCCAAGAAGCAGCTGGTGGATTTGAACTGCGCACCTTTTGGTTAGCAGCCAAGCTCTTAACCACTGTGCCACCAGGGCTCCCATAACACAGTAGTCCTTCTTAATCCAACAGAAACTTATTTTACTTGCAACAAGTATAAGCTACTTCCTATGAACAAATGGGAAACCTTGGTGGTGTAGTGGTTAAGTGCTACGGCTGCTAACCAAAAGGTCGGTAGTTCAAATCCACCAGGTGCTCCTTGGAAACTCTATGGGGTAGTTCTACTCTGTCCTATAGGGTCACTATGAATCAGAATTAACTCGACAGCAATGAGTTTTATCAACAAATGTATGTAACATCAAGGATAAAATATATATGCACAAAAAGCTGCACCTAGAAACATAAAATAAAGACTCTTTCTATAAATATGAATGCACAGTGATAAGTTCTGTGGAAGTAGACTTGGTTTCTGCTTTCAAGGAACTTCCAGTCTGGTGGAGGCTTGTACAGAAGGCAGATAAAGAGCGTGACCATCTAGCTTACCAAGATGAAAAGAAAGCAAAAAAGCAGATCACATCAAAGATGATCCTTTGCCAACTCTGCAGAATACATTAACCCTATAGGGAACTCATGGCTCTACTAATTAAGACCATAGGGGTGGTGGAGGTGGGTGGATGGGTGGATGGGGTGAGTGGGGAAATGGGGTAGGTACATAGGGTTGGGGTGGTGGATAAAAACCTCAGAAGACAATTACAATATGAGATTGTTTTGCTCCATTAGACTGAAAAATAGAAACTCTATTTTGATATAGGACTTTCTCTTCTGGCTAACAACAGTTTCCTAAGGTAAAATGCAACAGAGAGAAAAAGGACATGCTACACATTCTATGTGCACTGATTTCTTCCAACATCTTCTGATGTAAGTGGTTCTTCATTAAGAGCCAGGGGGCATTTGGCAGTGCCTGGAGACATTTTTGGTTGTCACAACGGGAAGGATGCCAGTGGCAGCAAACGGGTAGAGGTCAAGGATGCCGCTAAACTTCCTACAATGCACAGCACAGCCCACACCCCCGACACACAGCAAAGAATTATTTGGTCCAAAATGTTAATAGTTGAGAAATTCTGTCATGGTTGGATATAAAAGATTTAAAAATCAGTAAGTCTACAATGAAAGCAATTAGTACCATTTTAAGATGAATTATAAAGGAACATTCTCCCCCTTGATGAGATAGCTGGGACTCTCCTAAAAATATCTGATGGATCCATAATGGGAAAATAAAATATACCAAGAAATATTAGGACAGAAAAAAAAACTTACAAATATTAGTATAAAAATGAAAAATAAACTTGAAAGATGGAAAGGACAATTTTCTTTCACTCAACTGATTTCGATTACCAACGCTTCCATAGCCACAAAAGTAAATGTGGTCATGTTTCTGATTCTGGCCAAATCTGACAAAACATTTACTAAATTCTGACACTAAGACAGCCAGAAATATTAAAATAAAAGAGTATCTTCTAGACTTACACAGGGAAAAAAATTAGTCACTGTGTTTTTAGGAGGTGCTTAATTCCAATGAGATATTTAAACAAAATCATTTTCCCATATGATCTAAAAGTGTTTAGATTTATCCTTTATTCTGTGGTGGTTATATGCTGAGAAAGAAGAATGCAAAAAAAGAAGTGAACCAATGCACTTTTAGATATTAACAGTATTATAATTCAGTGCACACACACATACACACACACAAAACAATTATATCCTATGAAATCACACCCACTGAGATGCAGAGTCTATAAGGCGTTATCAACAGAGCATCCTTCACAAGGCTTTGATAGAAAAGCCCTTAATTGGTCACTAATTCAGCTTTGCAAAAATAATGTAAAAAGAATCCCGGCTGGAGCATAGGAGAATGAAGACCAAAGACACAGGGAAAGATCAGTCCAAAGGACGAATGGACCACAACTACCATAACCTTCACCAGACTGAGCCCAGAACAACTAGATGGTACCTGACTAGATAGAATCATCTGTTCAATTACAATGTAACGAAAGGAGTGACTATTACAGGGAATTTTGCTGTTGCTGTTACATACACTCATTTCAGGGATGGTTAGAACTAGAGGGCAGATTTCATTTTTGTAAATTCCATTTCAGGGAACTTCAAGTCAGCTGTGCTCTGCATTAACATCACCGACTGCTCTGGCAGGGATCACAATAGAGGGTGCTGGACAGAGCAGGAGAAGAATGTAGAATAAAATTCAAATTCATATACACACACACAAAGAAAAGACTAGGCTTGCTGGTCTGACAGAGACTGGAGAAACCCTGAGAGCACAGCCCATAGATATCCTTTTAACCCAGTACTGAAGTCACTCCTGAGGTTCACCCTTCAGCCAAAGATTAGACCAGGTCTATAGGGTCAACAATAACACATGTGAGGAACAGGCTTCATAGTTCAATCATGTATACAAGACCAATGGGCACACCAGCCTGAAAGCAAAGAAAAGAAGGCAGGAAGGAACAGGAAAACTGGACGAATGGAAATGGGGAACCTAGTGTGGAAAAGGTGAGAGTGTTGACACATCACAGGTCTGGCAACCAATGTCACAAAACAATTTGTGTAGTAACTGTTTAATGAGAAACTAATTTGCTCTGTAAACTTTCACCTAAAGCACAATTTAAAAAAAAAAAACAGTAAAAAGACAAAGAATGAAGAAGCTATATGACGGGATCTGATGTAATTAAATAAAAACACCTCTACTCAGCAAAAATATTTCCAAGTCTCAATTATATATTTGCTAAATACCTCCATCAAAAAAAATTAATAATTTCAGAAGACACTTGAAGTTCACTGAAATGGAATTTGCAAAAATGCAATTTGTCCTCTAGTTCTGTCTCTGAAATGGATATATGTAACAGCAACAACAGAATTCCCTGTAATAGTTACTCCTTTAGTTACACTGTAATTGAACAGCTGATTCTATAACTGGACTTGATGTGATTAAGTCTGACTTAGAGGGGAATAAATTCATTATTGCTACGAATCCAACTGGAACCTGCCCCAAATTTATGGAGGGGCATATAATATGAGAACCGGTTGAAAGGTGGTCAATTTTATACCCAGCCTGAAGCTACTCACAACTGGTACCCCTCCACATTCTTTCTGTCGAGAGACTTGGAGAATGTGGACCCACCCAGATTCCCCTCTGTGGATCTCTGGCTTAGTGGCCAGAGGGCATCGTTAGCGTGAATACACTTCCATCTCCTGAGATATATGTCAACCACCCATTGCACATATCTCAGAGAGGTGAGTAGGCTGGACAAACACACGCACACAAAAAAAATACAAGGACAAGTAAAATACCACAATGAAGGCCAATCTTAAGCATCAATAAATTAGGGCACTTTCTGCAAATTAAACTGTCAGAACCACAATCAAAATAAAAGACATTTATGCAAGTATCCCAACAACTATGAAAGATAAAGAATAGAAGACAAAATCTGTGTTAACTACACAAATTTTGTAAAAAAAGAAAAGGGATGTTATTATACTTTCACCAGAAATTTTTGAAAGAAAGAATACTTGCGAAGGAAAATGGTTTTTTTTTCCTTAAGAATCAAAACCCTTCTTTGATTAACTAAATAAAAGTATTTTTTCAGTGTTTTCAACACATAAAAGATGCTCAGATTTTCGTTGAACAAAGCAAACTTAAGGCAGTGTCTTTAAGGTCAATAAAGGAAAGCACTGGCTAGCAAATAAGCTTCTCTGAGAGGGATATATTGAGCTCATATTTGGATATTGAACAATTATGGCTTCAAACATAAAATACTAATGTTTCAAATTCTACACTTCCTCAGAGAAACTAATTTGCTCTGTAAACTCCTACCTAAAGCACAATAATAAAAAAAAGTTCTTTGTTTTTGGTTACGTGGACTTCCAATAGTCCACTTAATTCTAGAAAATTAAAGGAAATACTTCCCACATAATTTTGGAACCAAGTGTGAACGGTGCTGGATCCAGAATTAGCTCAGATACTGAACAACTCTGCTCACATGCACCGCTGACCTCAGTATAAAAAGGAGGAGGCTCCATAACTGCCCCAATATGGTAAGAAATGGTTGATGGACTCTGGAATTTGCTACAAAACAGACACTGAAGTTTTGAGGCACTGCTGCCATATCAGTCTAAGGTTTGGATTTTAAAAACATGCCTTTTTTGTTCGTTTGCTTTTCAGAAAAGCAATGCTTTTCCTCTCAGGTAGTGAAGCTCATTTTAAATCTTCTCTGTTCGGTCATCGTAGGGTTGTGTATCCCTGAGCTTCGTCTCATAGGCACATCCTGTAAGCACGCCGTCCCCGGGTCCAGCCGTTTCACTTGGTACTAGATCTTCGTATACCAATTCATGGAGCGTCTCACAGCTTTGACCCAGTTTTCCATACTCCTTTCATATTCTTGCCATTTCTTCTGTGGCTTGAAAACCATTTCACTTTGCCTCAGTTTCTTTAGTTCCTCCTTGTCAGTCCAAAACCCTATAGATTAAAAAAAAAAATTATTCTCTAATTTTAAGGCAAATAAGGAGTCTATCTAGTTTATCCACAACTCTACATGAATTGGTGCAAAGGTGAACAATTACCATTTTAAAGCACAATTCAAAATATTTTGTTGCTTTTGAATTTTGTTAAGTTTGAATATTCCCGGGAATAAATAAATCAAGATTATAAAATGTTTTGGTTTCTAACTTCAGCTTTCTTCCTGTGTGGCAGGGCACTGGGTCACTTCTAGAGCAGCCACACTCTGCCATCATTTAATTTCATGACTTGCCATTCAAAAAAAAAAAAAACTCACGTAAGAAATAGTACATTTTTTTACACAATGAAAATTAAGATTTCTGTCACACATCTTGAGGTAAGTGATGGGATATGCATAAAATCTAATATTGAGAATTAATAAAAGAATTTCTTTTTCAAACTATAGCATTCCATACAACTTATTTAAATTCTAAAGGAGCCCTGGTGGTGCAATGGTTGAGCACTCAGCAGCTAACAGAAAGGTTGGTGGTCAAAGCCACCCAGCAGTTCTGTGGGAGACATGGCGATCTGCTCTCATAAAGATAATAGCTTTGAAAATCCTATGGGGCAGTTATACTGTCACATGGGGTCACAATGAGTTAAAACTAACTCGATAGTACCTAATAACATAACAGGTGCCCTGGTGGCGCAGTGGTTAAGCGTTTGGCTGCTAACCAAAGGGTCGAAGGTTTGAATACACCAGCCACTCCTTGGAAACCCTATGGGGCAGTTCTTCTCTGTCCTATACGGTCACTATGAGACGGAATCCACTGGATGGCAACGGGTTTAACAACGTAACAACATTTAAATTCCAGTTCAAAATAATAATACTGTAGTTCCAGCATAAATTGTTCCTTACAAAGAGAACCATGTGATTTATAATAAAAAGCAATATGAGAACACATTTACGATTACAAATAGTCTGAAATGATACAGGTGTCTTGTTAATAAACTTGTCTCATCTCACCTACACAGAAGTTTTAACATAGTCTGTAAATGTACCTTTCTCTTACCAACAAAAAAGCTGACACATAAAAGTATTTTTTTAAAAACTTCTTGTCAAGTCACTTTTTTTCCTATTTACACAGTCAGTATTTTCGAGTATCTACGTTTTAAATGTACATTAATTTATAGATGTTTTAAAAGACTGAAAATCGTTCTCATCAGTGATCTACAGTTGGATAAATCTAGTCAAGAAAATAACTATGTTCTTAAAATCCTTACTTCCTGAATTTCTTATTTATATTTTTAAGGCATATATATTTTAAACATCATTTTATTAAATATGTCTAGAACTGACCCTCATTTCTGTGTGAATTTCTAAAAGATGGAGTATGTACATAGACTTCAGATCTCAAATTTCCGAGACAGAAGCAATCCAAACAGATACCTCAGGTTTTCTGAGAAGGTAAACCTGCTCCGTGTAGTTAGTTAAACATCTTTGTACCGAAAATATAGACATAACAATGTAAATAAAACTTCAAGCCACTGTGGTGTTATGTGTAGGAATAATCTGCGTGTGTTTATTATTTAAAGTATTTAAAATGTTTAATAGAATCTGACACATTTAATCATATAAGGTGAAAAGTACAGAAAAATTTGATGAACTGAATAAACAGTACTAGAGTGCTTATGAGAACTTGATTTACTCTAATTATATGCTTAATTTATTCATTTTACAAGTGTTATTTTAAGTATTTGAGAAGCTTTTCCTTGCTATGGTTCTCATTTGGTTCTATCAGGCATTTGAAAAAGATCATATACACTAAATTTATAGAGTTGAATGAAATATGCAAAGAAAGTTAATTAGCTACATTTGCCAGTGGGACTGATTATTTAAAGGAAATTTATTTTTTAACTTGAATTAATCAAACATTAATCAATGAACAAATGAGAGTGACTGTTTTACTTTTATTCATAATTACCAAATTTTTATTAGAATTAAGTTTAAGTTGAACTTGCCAGATTTCATGCTTTTGGGATTTGTCACTTTAATACACTTTAATATCAACTTTAAACTTTTAACTGTAAAATATTCTTTTCTTCTGGTTTTTGGCACAAAACACTGCCCCCCTCCATACAGGAACACATCAAAAATATTTCCAGTGCCCCAAGCCATCACCCTGTTTCCTAGATAGCATCCTAAATGGCCTCCCACCTCCATTATGTATTCTTCTTCACTAACCCTTTCACTAATTGTCAAAGTGATCTGTTCAGCCCAGATCTGTCCATGTTGCTCCCCTGTTTAAAATTCTTCAGTGGCTCTCCATTGCCTTCAGGATCAAGTCCAAACCCCTCTTTATGAGGAGCCCACCACAGCTGGACCTCTGCGTACCTCTCCAGCCTCCCCCTTGCCATCACCATATAGCGCTTCCCAGCTTTTTCTGTTGGACCACCCACCTCTTAGGCTCTCATCACCCGGCTATCTGTACCCCTTTATGACTGAGCCACATCACCTCCTCTGGGTAGCCCACACCACTGGCTTACTACTATCACTGGCTGGGTTTATCACAAGTTTAATAATCAGTTGATTTGTCCATCTGCTCCCACCAGAGGGCAGGAACTACGTCTTTTAATCTCTTCCTTCCGAGCAGTAACTGTCATGTAAAAGGTTGTTGTTCAATAAATAAAAGAATAGAGTGGTTTCTATTCACAAGGATGAGCATATCTACCTAGAAAGCTTGACTAGGGACCCTCCTTTGCTAGAGACCAAAGCAGCTGAGACTATCTTCCTCGCCTCGTGTTTCCTCTAGTGCCCTGGCGGCGCAGTGGTTAAGTCCTAAGGCTGCTGGCCAAAAGATCGGCAATCTGAATCCTGACTGAAGGAGTGAAGTAAGGATGAAAGAGGGACAACCAGACCTACCAGCAGGAGGACACAGGGGTTTTTGTAAGCAATATGCATATGTGGACAGGTTTAAGCAGAACTTCCAGACTAAGACAGACTAGGAAGAAAGACCTGGCAATCCACTTCTGAAAATCACAATGAAAACCCTATGGATCACAAAAGAATACTGTCTGATATACTGCTAGAAGATGAGCCCCCTAGGTTGGAAGGTACTCAAAATCCACAGTGGCCACAACAATGGACTTGAGCACACCAACAATTGTGAAGATGGTGCAGGACTGGGCAATGTTTCGTTATGTTGTACACAAGGTCGCCATGAGCTGGAGCCAACTAAATGGCAACCGACAACAACAATGAGTTGCTGTAGATTAAGGGACATCAATGCTTTTCAGACCCTCTCTATAATTCTGAGATCTGGGAAGAGAGATGATATCTGTAAGAAACAGTTTACAAGAAAGCCCTTGGGAGGCGGGGCCAAGATGGCGGAGTAGTCAGATGTTTCCTGTGGTCCCTCTTAGAACACAGACCTGAAAAAACAAGTGAATTGATTATATATGACAATCTAGGAGTCTTGATCATCAAAGGCAAAGTTGAGGGATTAGACTGAGCAGCAGGGGAGGGAGAGACGTTTCAGAAGCAGCAGTGAGTTGCCAGACCTGACCTGGTGGGAACCAGCACCCTGAAGGTCAGATCAACTAGTGTGCGCAGTGAGGCAAGCGGTGGTGCTTGGGAGGCATTTTCCCATCAGGAGAGACCAAGTGGTGGAGACTCTGCTCAAGCCTCCAGAACCAGTGAAAGGTGGTGCTTGTCATGGTTTGAATTATGTCCCCCAAAAAATGTATGTATCAGTTTGGCTAGGCCATGATTCCTGATACTGTGTGATTTTCCTGTATGTTGTAAACCTGCCTCCATGATGTTAATGAGGGAGGATGGGTGGCAGTTGTGTTAGTAAGGCAGGACCTGATCTACAAGACTGGACTGTGTCCTGAGGCAATCTCTTGAGATATAAAAGACAGAAGTGAATAGTGAGACAGGGGACCTCCTACCATCAAGAAAACAGTGTCAGGAGCAAAGCGCATCTTCTGGATCGGGGTCCCTGCACCGAGATGCTCCTAGTCCAGGGGAACACTGATGAGAAGGCCGAGAGAGAGAAAGCCTTCCCCTGGAACTGACGCCCTGAATTTGGACTTTTCGCTACTTTGACTGTGAGGAAATAAACTTCTCTTCGTTAAAACCATCCACTTGTGGTATTTCTGTTATGGCAGCACTAGATAACTAAGACAGCACTCAGTCGGCAAAAGAAAAGTACATGTATCTAACCCACTGCAGGGATCAAAAAACACTCCATTTGGGAAGAACCTCTCTCCCATTTACCTGCCTCCTTGCCATTCTGCACCAGGTCCCAGGCCGGCTTCAGTGATTACTGCGTGCCCTGGGCCGGAGGTAGGACCCATCATGTGCCCTGTGCCGTTATCCCAGTCTTGGAGAGGGAACAAATTAACAAACAGGGAAAAAATAATCTGCCCGTTCCTGTAAGCCAGGAACTCAGGGCAGGCACAGGCCCTTTGCCTAGGAATAGGCATAGGGGTCCATGAACTTTGAATGCCTTTCACCCCTGGATAGACCTGTGTGGGCCCATTTCAACAGCGTAGACCCTCATTAGCACAGTATAACAGGGTACATACCTGAAGCCTAACTTCAACTGTATCAGCTTTATGGTGGAGTGGCAGGTTTGTGACATTTGACACTGCTCTGCCCATTAAGCAGGGTTCTCATCTACCCACATCAGGGGCCTGAGGACTGGTGGCTCCACCCACCCCACCTAGCCACCTGTGACAGGGGTCCAACAATAAGTGGTGCCTCCCAGTCCTTACAGCCAACAGCACTGGGTGCCCATAGTCCAGCTGCAAAACCCACCCACCTATGCACTCTAGAGAACAGTGACACGCTTTCCTCCCAGACACTCAGGGGCAGCTGCCAGCCCCCTGCCTTGCTCAGCGTGTAACCACCTCCTACAGCCAGATACCTGTGCTTACTCCAATCATCCCTGCCCATTTAGGACTGTAGTTGAGAGCTGGCACCACACACTCAGTGACCGACAACCTGGACACCTCAGCTGAAGCCATACAAGAAAAGTAAATGGACTCCCGGGCTCACATACTTAGTAACAGATCTAATCACCTGGTGACAGGACATTAGAGCTTCAAAGGCGCCAATAATCAAACCAGCTCACATGAGCAGCCTATTTGGGCATATCAAAACAAAACAAGAAGCTGGGACATAGTAAGCAAACATAAAATAAACAAATGTAATAACTTACTGATGGCTCAGAGACAACAGTCAATATCAAGTCACATAAAGCAGCAGACCATGATGGCTTTGGCAAGCTCCCAAAACAAAGAATCAAGAAATCTTCCAGAGGAAGAGAAGTTCTTGGAATTACTAGAGGTAGAGTACAAAAGATTAATATAGAGAACTCTTCAATGGGCAAAGGATATGAACAGGCACTTCACCAAAGAAGACATTCAGGTGGCTAACAGACACACATGAGGAAATTCTCATGATCACTAGCCATTAGAGAAATGCAAATCAAATTGCAATGAGATACCATCTCACCCCAACAAGGCTAGCATTAATCCATAAAACACAAAATAATAAATGTTGGAGAGGTTGTGGAGAGACTGGAACACTTATACACTGTTGGCGGGAATGTAAAATGGTACAACCACTTTGGAAATTCATTTCAGCTTCCTTAAAAAGCTAGAAATAGAAGCACCATACGATCCAGCAATCCCGCTCCTTGGAATATATCCTAGAGAAATAAGAGCCATCACATGAATAGATATATGCACACCATGTATATTGCAGCACTGTTCACAATAGCAAAAAGATGGAAAAAACCTAGGTGCATAGTAACGGACAAATGCATATACAAATTATGGTTTATTCACACAATGGAATACTATGCAACAATAAAGAACAATGATGAATTCGTGAAACACCTTATAACATGGAGGAATCTGGAAGGCATTATGTTGAGTGAATTTAGTCAGTCGCAAAAGGACAACTATTGTATAAGACCACTATTATAAGAACTCAAGAAAAGGTTTAAACACAGAAGAAAACATTCTTTGATGGTTATGAGGGTGAGGAGGGAGGGAGAGAGGAATTCACTAACTAGATAGTAGACAAGAATTACCTCAGGTGAAGGGAAGGACAGCACACACTACAGGGGAAGTTAGCACAACTGAACTAAACCAAAAGCTAAGAAGTTTCCTGAATACAACCAAACACTTTGAGAGACAGAGTAGCAGGGGTGCGGGTCTGGGGACCATGCTTTCAGGGGACATCTAGGTCAACTGGCATAACAAAATTTATTAAGAAAATGTTCTGCATCCCATTCTGGTGAGTGACGTCTGGGGTCTTAAAAGCTAGCAAGCGGCCACCTAAGATGCATCAATTGGTCCCAGCCCACTTGGAGCAAAGGAGAATGAAGAACGCCAAAGACACAAGGAAACTATTAGCCCAAGAGATAGAAGAGTCACATAAACCACAGACTTCAGCCTGAGACCAGAAGAACTAGATGGTGCATGGCTACCACCAATGACCACCCTGACAGGAAACACAACAGAGAGTCCCTGATGGAGCAGGAGGGAAGTGGGATGCAGAACTCAAATTCTAGTAAAAAGACCAGACTTAATGGTTTGACTGAGACTGGAGGGACCCTGGGAGACATGGCCCACAGATTCTGTGTTAGCCCAAAACTAAAACCATTCCCAAGGCCAACTCTTTGGACAAAGATTAGACTGAACTATGGGACATAAAATGATACTCATGAAGAGTGTGCTTCTTAGCTCAAGTAGATACATGAGACTAAATGGGCAGCCCCTGTCCAGAGGCGAGATGAAAAGGCAGAGAGGGTCAGGAGCTGGTTGAACGGACATGGGAAATCCTGGGTGCAAAGGAGGAGTGTGCTGTCACAGTATAGGGAGAGGAACTAGGGTCACTTAACAATATATGTATAAATTTTTGTATGAGAGACTAACTTGAATTGTAAACTTTCACTTAAAGCACAATTTAAAAAAATAAAATAAAAGCCCTTGTTTTTACAAAATCCGCACATACCAACAGCAAGGCCAGCTAGAGAAGCTGCCCCTCGGCAGGACATGTCAATGTGAACCGGTCTGTCTATATTCTGATTAATCAGGTCTGAGGTCATCTGCATGACAAAACTGTTCTTACAGACTCCTCCATCTGCCCTGCAGGGAGAAAGAACAGGAACACAAATCACTGCAACCAAAGCATAAAAGCATCATTAATTCTTTTTAAGTGGGCCATATATTTTTCTTAAATCCTTGATGTTATAAGTTTAACTTTGTACTTCCAAAATTACATCACTTAGCATTGATCTGAAGACAGAAGGTCTTACTGGGTAGCCTTCATAAACATTTTCGCTAATTCCTTCCAACAATTTTTCCACCTGCCCAGTTTGTTCTGCAACCAGTTTTAAATAAAAATTCATCTGGACATTTCAGCAAAGAAGTCAGAAATCTGATGCCTGCATGCCAAAAGGATAGCTACACATATGAGAAAAACAGGTTTTTAAAGATCTATACAGTACATATCCAAGTGCTAAGATCCTTCCAAATTCCATAAAGTGCTGTATTCCCCATAAATCCAAAATTAGCTTTCCCTTTCTCTCCAAATTCCCATGACCAAGAATTTTGTTGCAAAGGAGGGAGGCGTAAGCTCTCTGAAATCACGAACGATTGTAATAGTGAAATACTAATAGCAGCTACCACTTACTGAATGCTTCACAGGTCCACGCCCTGTATCAGGTTCTCCAGGTTAACTCACTCACCTTACCAATGAGGAAGCCCAGCCCCAGCTCACAGAAAGGAAGGGGATGCTCCAGCTTTGAAGGCAGACCCTGACTCCAAACTTTGCTTTTTTTTTCTTTACTGAAGGATAATGCTTACTCCCCCAAATCATGGCACTTCTAATGCTTTTAGAGAATAAACCTTAAAAATAATTCACTTGTCACTATAATGAACTCGAAGTGTACTTTATACATAAGAATTTAAGTCTCAGAAATTTAAAGTTTAACTTCCAATTCAATTTGTTAGAAATAAAGTATAACCATCGAGTTGGTTCCAACTCATGGCGACCCCATGTGTGTCAGATTAGGACTGTGCTCCATAGGGTTTTCAATGGCTGATTTTTCAGAAGTAGGTCACCAGGCCTTTCTTCTGAGGTGCCTCTGGGTGGACTCGAACCACCAACCTTTCAGTTAGCAGCCGAATATATTAACTGTTTGAACCACCAGGGACAGAAAGCATAAAAACAATGTATACGTACCGGATTTTTGTTATAGGAATATGGATCTCTTTCTGCATCATGTCATACAACTGTTTATTTCTAGTTGAAAAACAAGACAACTATTTAGATGAAATGAATACCATAATAACACTGTCTTTTATGTAGATCTAGAAAAAGAAAAACTGTTTTTATTTATATTACATTTATAAAATATGCAAAAGAAATATTAAAGAAATATATTATGCTAGCCGGAAGTTGTCTAACAGATACCCAACCAAGCAGGAGCCTCAGGGCCTGTATATTTTGCCTTAATAAAAAAGAACCTAATTTTTATGTTAGAACTAAATTTAATCTATTACTCTTCTTACAAATAAAAATTTAAAGCAACAGCCCATTTAATAGATAGTTATTAAGATGATGTACCGTAAACAACAGCTGATAGAACTCAATAAATATAAAAATAATCATTTTTTAATCACAGAAAATTTTATTTTAAACATTAAAAATGTTCTGTAATTCATGGCAGTCACGTTCTTAATTTTAATCATCTACACCAGTCTCATAACAAAAAGGTCACAGAGAAATAGACATAAAAATAATTTTGTTAATTCAATCTTATTAGTTTGAATTCTCCTGCATGAAAAAATACATTCAAACTTTTAGAAACCCAAATATTGAATGTGCTATGCTTAAGAAATGGACTTTAAAAAATTCAGTTTTCAGATATCAAACCAAAGTGGGACTGCTACTACTAAATATGGAAAAAAAAAAAAGATTCCAAAGAAATTAGCAATAAGAACATCATACATAGTATGAATTGAACTAACAGTAAATAAACCCCCAGTTAACAGATTAAGAAATTTCTAATTTAGTAGCAAATCAATAAAAGGAAACGGCAATATAGTACGGGGAAGGGGTAGTTTAGGGCAGGCTTTTGTACCTGAAAGCTATCGACTCCAATATTGCTCGTACAAGATGATGTTTATTGGTGGAAGGCTTTAAACCCATGAAGGAGGCACATGCATGAGGGTCATTCAATGGAGCCTAAAGTAAGAGATAAAAAGAACATACTCTCACTGTTCTAAATTACATATCTAAAGAAATATTATATGATAAAAATATAGCCATTTAGAAGAAAAATAATGTTTTATTTGGAAGAAAATAATGTTTGTTTAGAGTTAAATAATGTAATAATAAATGATAGCCCAAAGATTATGTTAAATATTAGGACAACTTTTTAACAGGTCTTAAGCAAGACTGAGTCAAAGATGTTGGACTTGGCTGTACCTTCTGTCTGAGCTCATACCAAGAAAAGGGACTGAAATACATGTTGTTAGGTGCTGTTGAGTTGATTTTGGCTCATAGCAACCTTACATACAACAGAATGAAATGTCACCCAGTCCTGCGCCATCTTCACAATCGTTGCTATGTTTGAGCTCACTGCTGCAGCCACAGTGTCAATCCATCTCGTTGAGGGGCTTCTTCCTTTTCACTCGCCCTCTACTTGACCAAGCATGATGTCCTTCTCCAGGGACTGGTCTCTCCTGATAACATGTCCAAAGTATGTGAGACGAAGTCTTGCCAACCTCGCTTCCAAGGAGCACTCTGGCTGTACTTTTTCCAAGATAGACTTGTTCAGTCTTCTAGCAGTCCATGGTATATTCAATATTCTTTGCCAACACCATTATTCAAAGGCATCAATTCTTTGGTCTTCCTTATTCATTGTCCAGCTTTTGCATGCATATGAGGCAACTGAAATCCATGGCTTGCGTCAGGCACACTGTGATGGTTAAGGCTGTGAGTCAAATTGGCTGGATCATGATTCTCAGTGGTTTGGCAGTTAGGATGCAGTTTGGCAGTTATGTAATGATGTAAATTGGTAGTTATGAAATGATGCAAATGGCAGTTACATAATGATGTAGTCATTCTGCTTTTTTTTTTATTCTCCATTTTTGATCTGATGTAGTCATCCCCATTTTGTGATCTGATGTGAGGAGCCAATCAGTTGAAAAGGGAGTTTCCTTGGGGGTGTGGCCTGCATTCAATATATACACCTGTTCCTCACTTATTGACACGGTTAGGTTCCAAAGACCAGCTTGTTATGTGAAAATTGGCATTATGCAAAAATGGAGGATAATCACATCAGATCATAAAATGTGGGATTACTACATCATTACATAACCACAAATCATTGAGAATCATAGCCCAGCCAAGTTGACGCATAACTTACTCTTGCTTCGCACGTTGGGGTTTGTTACTACCAGACGTACGTCGTTAATGTGCAAAATAGTTGGATAGTAGATTTTTTACTTTTGTTGTAAATGTGAAATGTCAGATAACAAGGTAGTAAGTGAGGGGTAGGTATATAACTGATGTCCTGGCAAAGCTTGCTTGCTCTGGATCCTGCATCCAGCTCATCATCATCTGACGTGGTTCTTGGGACTTCAGCTCATGGCCTATCTACTCCCTGCCGATCTTGGATTCATCAGCTTCCACAGCCCATGAACTAGCAGCCTGCCACCTGACCTGTCTATCCTGGGTTCATCAGCCCCTGCAGCTATGTGAATCAGGAGACGCCTCTAGCCTGACACCTGACCTGTGGGCTTGAGACTTGCCAGACTCTACAACTGCGTGAGCCATATCCTTGAGATAAATCTCTCTCTCCTTGCCCCCTCCCTATATATATTCATGCTTCACTGGTTTTGCTTATCTAGAGAACCCAGTCTAAGAAATACACCTTAGTCTTCAAAGTGAAATCTTTGCTTCTTAACACTTTAAAGAGGTCTTTTGCAGCAGATTTGCCCAATGCAATACGTTGTTTGATTTCTTGACTGCTGCTTACAAGAGCGTTGATTGTGCATTCAAGTAAAATGAAATCCTTGACAACTTCAGTATTTTCTCTGTGTATCATGATGTTGGTTATTGGTCCAATTGTGAGGATTTTTGTTTTCTTTATGTTGAGGTGTAATTTACACTGAAGGCTGTAGTATTTGATTTTCATAAGTAAGTGCTTCAAGTTCTCTTCCCTTTCAGCAAGCAAGGTTGTGTCATCTGCATATTGCAGGTCATTGATGAGTCTTCCTCCAATCCTGATGCCCTGTTCTTCATATAGTCCAGCTTCTTGGATTATTTGCTCAGCATACAGATTAAATAAGTATGGTGAAAGGATACAACCCTGACACACACCTTAGCTGATTTTAAACTATGTAGTATCCCTTTGTTCTGTTTTAATAATTGCCTCTTCGTCTATGTACAGGTTCTGCGTGAACATAATTAAGAGTTCTGGAATTCCTATTCTTCACAATGTTATCCATAATTTGTTATGATCCACACAATCGAATGCCTTTGCATAGTCAGTAAAATGCAAGTAAATATCTTTCTGGTATTCTCTGCTTTCAGCTAAGATCCATCTGACATCAGCAATGATATCCCTCGTTCCACAGCCTCTTCAGAATCTGGCTTGAATTTCTGGCAGTTCCTTGCAGTGTACCGATACAACTGTTTTTGAATTATCTTCAGCAAAATTTTACTTGTATGTGATATTAATGATATTATTCGATCATTTCCACATTCTGTTGGATCACCTTTCTTTGGAATGGGCATGTATATGGATCTTTTCCAGTTGGTTAGCCAGGTAGTTGTCTTCTAAATTTTTTTGGCATAGATTGAGTGAGCACTTCCAGCACTGCATCCATCTGTTGAAACATCTCAATTGGCATTCTGTTAATTCCTGGAGGCTTGTTATTTGCTAATGCCTTCAGTGCAGTTTGCAATTCTTCCTTCAGTACCATCAATCCTTAATTATATGTTTACCTCCTGAAGTGGCTGAACTTCGCAATTCTTTTTGGTACAGTGACTTTGTGTATTCCTTCCATCTTCTTTTGATGCTTCCTGAGTCATTTAATATTTTCCTCGCAGAATCCTTCAATATTCAACTCGAGGCTGGAATTTTTTCTTCAGTTCTTTCAGCTTGAGAAATGCCAAGCGTGTTCTTCCCTTTTGGTTTTCTAAAATCTAGGTCTTTTCACATTTCATTATAATCCTTTACTTTGTTTTCTTGAGCCACCCACTGAAATCTTCTGTTCAGCTCTTTTCCTTCATCATTTCTTCCATTTGCTTTAGCTATTCTACATTCAAGAGCAAGTTTCAGAGTTCCTTCTGACATCCATTTTGTCTTTTCTTTCTTTCCTGTCTTTTTATTGACCTTTTGCTTTCTTAACGTATGATGTTCTTGATGTCATCCCACACTCCTCTGGTCTTCAGTCATTAGTGTTCAATACATTAAATCTATTCTTGAGATGGTCTCTAAATTCAGGTGGGATACACTCAAGGTCATACTTGGCTCTCATGGACTTGTTCTACTTTTCTTCAGCTTCAACTCGAATTTGTATATAAGCAATTGATGGTCTGTTTCACAGTAGGCTCCTGGCTTTGTTCTGATTAATGATATTGAGCTTCTTCATCATCTCCTTCCACAGAGGTAGTCGATTTGATTTCTGTGTATTCCATCCGGTGAGGTCCATGTGTATAGTCACTGTTTATGTTGTTGTAAAAAGGTATTTCCAGTAAATAAGTTGCTGGTCTTCCAAAATTCTATCATGTTATCTCCGGCATTGTTTCCATCACCAGGGCCATATTTTCCAACTATTGATCCTTCTTCTTTGTTTCCAACTTTCAAATTCCAATCACCAGTAATTATCAATACATCTTGACTGCATGTCTGATCAATTTCAGATTGCAGAAGTTGGTAAAAATCTTCAATTTCTTCATCTTTGGCATTAGTGGTTGGTGCATAAATTTGAATAATAGTCATTAACTAGTCTTCCTTGTAGGTGTATGGATGTTATCCTATCACTGACAGCACTGTACTTCAGAATAGATCTTGAAATGTTCTTTTTGATGATGGTGATGCCATTCCTCTTCAATTTGTCATTCCTGGCATCGTAGACCATATGATTATCCAATTGTAAAGGTCAAAATATCAGTCCATTTCAACTCACTAATGCCTAGGATATTGATCTTCAAGTCTTCCATTTCATTCTTGACAACTTTAAATTTTCCTTGATTCATACTTCATACATTCCATTTTCCAATTACTAATAGGTGTTTACAGCTGTTTCTTCTCAGTTTGAGTCATGCCACATCAGCAAATGAAGGTACCAAAAGCTTTACTCCATCCATGTCTTTAAGGTTGACTCTACTTTGAGGAGGCAGCTCTTCCCTAGTCGTATTTTCAGTGCCTTGCAACCTGAGGGGCTCATCTTCTGGCACTATATCACATGTTCTGCCACTGTCTTAGTCTTGAAGCTCCGCTGAAACTGTCTACCATAGGTGACCCTGCTGGTATTTGACATTCCGGTGGCATAGCTTCTAGCGTCACAGCAATACGCAAGCCACCACACTACAACTGACAGACAAGTGTACATAGTGAAGTATATAGTGACAAATCATTACATGCCTAGCTTAATAAATGTGGAAAATGAAAAGCAATCCTAGTATTTTCCCCTTACTCCAATTGCAAAGTTTTTACATTAAAATTGTTCAATATGTAGAGTGATTTTTTAAATTGAGGTGAAATTTACATAACATAATATTAACCATTTTAAAGCGAACAATTCAGTAGCATAGCCACTGTCATGGACTGAATTATGTCCCCCAAAAAATGTGTGTATCAATTTGGCTGGGCCATGATTCCTGGTATTGTGTGATTTTCCTATATTTTCTAAATCCTGCCTCTACGATGTTAATGAGGGAAGATGAGTGGCAGTTGTGTTAGTATGGCAGGACTCAATCTACAAGATTGGCCTGTGTCCTGAGGCAATCTCTTGAGATATAAAAGAGAGAAGTGAGGGGGGGTGGCGGCAGGAGGGGACCTTATATCACCAAGAAAGCCGTGCCAGGAGCGGAGCGCGTCCTTTGGACCTGGGGTCCCTGTGTGGAGAAGCTCCTAGTCCGGGGGAACACTGATGAGAAAGAAGAAGGCTGACAGAGAGAAAAAGCCTTCCCCTGGAGCTGATGCCCTGAATTTGGACTTCTAGCTTACTTTACTGTGAAGAAATAAATTTCTCTTTGTTAAAGTCATCCACTTGTGGTATTTCTGTTGTAGTAGCACTAGATAACTAAGACAGCCACCATCTTTATCTAGTTCCAAAACTTTACTTTTATCACCCCAAAAGGAAACCCCATATCCATTACACAGTTACTCTACGTTCTTCCCTCCCCTCTAGTGTCTGGCAACCACCAATCTACTTTCTGTCTCGATGGATTTCCTATTCTGGAATTTTCAAATAAATGGTATCATACACTATGTGGTCTTGCTTCTTTCACTTAGCATTATGTCTTCGAGGTTCTTTCACTTAACATTAGGTATCACTACGTTCATTTCTTTTTAATGGTGAGTAATATTCCATTCTATGTACATGCCACATTTTGTTTATCCATTCCTCCATTGATGGACACTTACATTGTTTCCATCTTTTCGCCATTGTAAATAATGCTGCTATGAACATGCGAGTACATGTATTTGTTTGGGTACCTGTTTTCAATTCTTTTGAGCATACGCCTATGAATGGAGTTTCTGGGGCATATGGTAATTCTATCTTTAACTTTTTGAGGAACCGATAAACTGTTTTCTTTTAGAGTGACTTCTATTGTTGTAGTCTGCCATTGAATCAATTCCGACTCATAGCAACTCCATGTGACAGAGTAGAACTGCACCATTGGGTTTTCTAGGCTGTAATTTTTATGGAAGCAGATTGCCAGGTCTTTCTCCTGCAGAGCCGCTGAGTGGGTTCGAACTGCCGACTTTTTGGTTAGCAGCCAAGCACTCAACCGTTGTGACACCAAGGCTCCTTTGAGTGACTTTAAGGATATAAATTAGACTTAATATATATATGTATGTATATATGTATTATAATATATATATATAATGCAAAAAAGTACTTTTCATGGCATAGCTTATACCCAATATGTTGTCAGACATTCAAATTAAACTCTTCTACTTCTTAATAGTCTCATTCCCTATTATCAGAAACAACCTAGATTAACATGTATTTAAAAGAGCCAAAATCTTAGGCTGGAAGGTTTGTGTGTGTGTGCTCATCCTTATATCCCCAGAAATGCAAAACAACACTGGAACACAATGATAAATAACAAAGATCCCTGCTTTTGAGGAGCTTGCAGTCTCACAAGGAAACAGACAGAGGCGTTCTAACACAACCGACAAGGTCATAGCAGAGGACCATGTAGTGCTGTCAGGGAAGTGTGGTCGCCAGAACAAGCGTCTTGTAGCCTCAGGGTCTTGACAAGTAATCCCTCCACCTGGAAAATGTAGCACTATTCCCACTCCTAGTTCATTCTACACCCCCTCCAAATCTTGGCTCCGCTTTCTCTAGGAAAACTCCTAACCCCAGAGATCAGATCAGGCCCACTATTATGTGTTTTTATGGGACGCTATAGCTTCCCATCCCATCACATACAGGTTATATTTGCAATCACATATATTTGTGTGGTTGTTTGTTGAAACCCCGTCTTCCCTACTACACTCTAAGAGGTGCACGGGCTTGAACTGTGTCTGAGGCGCTAGCACTATATCTGTGTCTCCACAGCCTAGCACTACGTCTGGCCCACTGTAGGGGATCGATACAAATCTGTTGAATGAATAAGCAAACAATAACCAAAAAATCAAAGCTATTGCCATCGAGTCGATTCTGACTCATGGCAACCCATACGTTACAGAGCAGAACTGCTCTATAGGGTTGGCTACAATTTTTTACGGAAGCAAATCGCCAGGCCTTTCCTCTGTGGCACCGCTGGCTGGGTTTGAACTGCCAACCTTTTGGTTAGCAGCCAAGCACAAACCATTTGCGCCACCCAGGGACCCAAACAAACAATACTTGTCCTAATTACTTAACTGAAGAAATTCTACCATACAGCTCATCTTTAGTGTAGCTATGGTGATTCTCCAATTATGACTTTATTTTGATGATCTTTCAAATTTATTAACATCTTTTTGTAATTTAATCAGCAGAAGCTGAGTCACACACTAAAACTGGTTTATATAAGGTGGTGTAATACTGTAAAACTAAGATTAGTTAGATCATGCCAGTTCAATCAGCCTCTAGTAATATGCCATGTTTTTCCTGCATAAAAACAAGTTATCCCAGTATACTACATAAAACATGACTGTCCTGAAATCACTCCTGTACAAATAGCTATGAACATAATTTACTATTAGAGTCCGGGTGGTGCAAATGGTTAAGTGCTCAACTGCAGGAATTCTACCACTGAACCAGCAATGCCTCACATGAGGAAAATGACAATTAAACAGAAGTTATGAAGAATAAAGAACACAGAGCAAAGCTAGTAATGAGATAAGAAAAAGCACAACCACAGACAGAAGCAGAACCTGCAAGGAACACTACGAACTGCTATGTCGGTTGCCGAGCGCTTTCCAACCCCAATCCTCAGGAGTGTGTGAATAACACCTCCTCTTGGGGTAGGCTTAAGCAAGCCTGTTCCTTGCAAATGTAAGAACCTTCATTAAAGCATGACTCCTTGTCCTCCGAAGACTGGCACTTGGCTCACAGTCCTATTCATCATCAGAGTAACTTTAACATCCAAGTAGATGACCACTGATTCTTGCCTTTGGTACCTCTAATTCCTACTCTACTTTAGTATTCTGCTCCGCAAACCACAAGCCCTTCTACAGCAAAACCACAATGACTGCACCAATTGATGCCACCCCCAGGATATGACCCCTGTGGTCCAGCCTCATCCTGCCGTTCCCAGAAGTGGCTGTCTCAGACCTTCCCCGCTCTCCTCAAAGCTCCTCCAATGCTCCTTTCTCAGCAGATTCTCCTGAGAAACTGAAGCCTTCAACAGCCTGTTCCCACTTACTTAAGGCTGCCTTCCTTTAACCTTCTTTCCTTCTGCTTCTCCATCCTCCATTGTCTCTAGTTGCTGACATATGCAGCTTATAGGTGATCTTCTATTTCCCAAACAGCTTAGCATCAGTACACTATTGTTGTTTGAATCGACTTTTGGTTTTGAGTTAAGAGTTTCATTTTACGTTTGGGAAATACTTGGCCTGCAGCTTCCCCCCTTCAACATTTTGCCAGGTTGCAACCATGAGAGGACAGGGACACTTTGATATCAAGATGAAGTTAAAAATCACATCTGTGATACATCTGTCTAGTCTTTTGCACTTTTGCAATACTTTGGTCTTTTTCTTAATCATATACTTTATATTATTTTCATAGGTAGGTGAGTTGATAGAGAAAATAAAAACAGAGTTGCCAAGACAAAGTTGCTACTAATGTCTTTTTTTTTTTTTTTTACCTGCAATCCACTAAAAGATGGAACAAAATAAACTCCTTCAGAATCTTCTAAATGTTTGGCCATTTTTTCAGTCTCAGCAGCATCTGTGAAGAGATCTGCAAAAACAAGCAAACAAACAGAACAAAGCGGTTGAAAAGGGGCAAACAGAATGATGATACATGATTAGTATTTACCTACATCCCCGTTTATTAGGAACATAATGTGAAAGGTCTGTTCACTTAGGCCAAACTGTTCTTGCATTATCTGGGTCCTCACACTGCATAGGTTTATGAGCCAATGGAAGGGGCAAGGGAGCCAGAAGGTCCTCTCAGGTAGGCCTTCTATGCAGCAAGCCTTACTGCTTCTTTACATGTATGTTTCCTGGCATTAAAACATTATTCTCCAGAAGACAAGAGCCATCCTAGTCTTCTGATGAAAAGATCATCAATCATCGATGTATAATAACCAGGAAAAATCAGCTGGAAAACTATTCCATCTAACAAGTTCTGTAAGAGGCCAGTAACAAATAGATATACTAAAAGTCAATCTTTAAAAAACAAACAAATGAAACTCAAGACCTAATTCACTCAGTAAACTTTTTACCGAAGTATACAATATAAAAATCAGTTGCTGTCGAGCGGACTCTGACTCATGGTGACCCATGTGTGTTAGAGTAGAACTGTGTTTCATAGGGTTTTCAGTGGCTGATTTTTGAGAAGTAGATTGCCAGGCCTTTCTTTTGAGGTGTCTCTCGGTGGACTCAAATCTTCAACCTTTTGGTTAGTAGCCCAGTGCATTAACTGTTTGTACCACCTAGGGACTCAGTATAAATACATACAAAAAAATGTACAAACTCTATAAAAACCAAACCCATTGCCATTGAGTCGATTCCGACTCATAGCAACCCCATAAGACAGAGTAGAACTGCCCCATACAGTTTCCAAGGAGCGCCTGGTGGATTTGAACTGCTGACCTTTAGGTTAGCAGCCGTAGCTCTTAACCGCTACACCACCAGGGTTTCCCCTAAGTGTACACCTGGATGAATTTTCAGTGTGAATACACCCAGAAAACCAACACCCAGATACAGAATATTACTGGCGCCCCACAAAAGATCTCCTCATATTCCCTGCTTTTCCTTAGAGTTGTATCCAAGTGTTTGTCTTCAATTTCGCTGATCCTGTCTTCCATCGTTTCAAACCTGCTCCTCAGCCCTTCTATGACACTGTCCATTTCTGAAATCTTGTTGTTTATCTTTTGGATTTCTAATCGTTGTTTTTGTATAATTTCTAGTTG